TTTCATGCCTTGGATGTGTATGTTCAGGGCCGGAACATGAAGTTCTACCCAGGCCAGGATTAGAGCCACTTCTCTTCAAGCTGCGTGACTTCTGGGGCCCCTGGTGGTTGATTTTGGCCACTGTCATAGCATTGTCCAACTGAATCCTGGTTGGTAACCTTGCAGACGAGAACAACTAAATCACCCTGAGTTCCAGGATGTTGATGGTCCTCCGACAACCAAGTTCCCTATGTCAAGTGGGTATCCAGGGCTCCCCCCTAGTCCAACAGGCTCTCGTCCATCATAAGGATCCCTCCAAAGGATTTCCCTGACTCCAGCACTGGATATTCATTAGGGAGAGCCTTCCCATGCTGGTTGTGCAGATCCTACGCAGCCAGTATAAATAAGTATACACACACACACTATATTGCCAAAAGTATTGGGACACCCCTCCAAATCATTGAATTCAGGTGTTCTGTGAAATTTCCTTGCTACTAAATATTCCACGTTCAACTGTTAGTGGTATTATAACAAAATGGAAGCAACTGGAAACAACTGCAACTCAGCCACGTAAAATGACAGAGCGGGGTCAGCGCATGCTGAAGCACACAGTGAGCAGAAGTCGCCGACTGTCTGCAGAGTCAATAGCTACAGACCTCCTAAGTTTGTGTGGATTTCAGATTTGCACAATAACAGTGCGTAGAGAGTTTCATGGAATGGGTTTCTATGGCCGGACAGCTGCATCCAAGCCTTACATCACTAAGTGCAATGCAAAGCGTCGGATGCAGTGGTGTAAAGCACGCCACCACTGGACTCTACAGAAGTGGAGACATGTTCTCTGGAGTGACGAATCACACTTTTCTGTCTGGCAAACCGGTGGACGTGTCTGGGTTTGGTGGTTGCCAGGAGAACGGTACTTGCCTTACTGCATTGTGCCAGGTGTAAAGTTTGGTGGAGAGGGGATTATGGTGTGGGGTTGTTTTTCAGGGGTTGGGCTTGGCCCCTTAGCTCCAGTGAAGGGAACTCTTAAGGCATCAGCATACCAAGACATTTTGGACAATTTCATGCTCCCAACTTTGTGGGAATTGTTTGGGGATGGTTCTTTCCTGTTGCAACATTACTGCGCACTAGTGCACAAAGCAAGGTCCATAAAGACATGGATGGGGTGGAGGAACTTGACTGGCCTGCACAGAGTCCTGACCTCAACCCAATAGAACACCTTTGGGATTAATTAGAGTGGAGACTGCGAGCCAAGCCTTCTTGTCCAACATCAGTACCTGACCTCGCAAATGCGCTTCTGGAAGAATGGTCAAACATTCCCATAGACACACTCCTAAACCTTGTGGACGTCTTCCCAGAAGAGTTGAAGCTTTTATAGCGGCAAAGGGTGGGCCAACTCAATATTGAACGCAACGGATTAAGACTGGGATGCCATTAAAGTTCATGTTCGTGTAAAGGCAGGCGTCCCAATACTTTTGGCAATATAGTGTGTGTGTGTGTGTGTAGATATCTACTGTATACTGGACTGGGTAATGTGTTAGGAATGAAAGGATGCCACATCGTTTGATGGAAATGAAAAATTATCAACCTACAGAGGGCTGAATTCAAAGACACCCCCAAAAAAAGTGAACAGATGATGCATCAGGCTAGTCCATTGTGATGAAATTTCATTGCAGCAACTCAAAATGGTACTCAGTAATTTGTATGTTTTCCCTACGTTATGTTATAAAACATCTATTCTTACCCATATTTTTGGTAAAACATATAAGTCGGGGTCACGTCGGGTACATAGACACCAAACATGTCAAGCCTTAAAATTGCGTGCGCCTGCAAAATCGCAAAAAACGACCACACTGAAAATTGGCCATAGGCGACGCTTAAAACACTTTTAACGCTCATCAGTTTAGTGTTATCAGTAATTAATGGCCCTAAAATTATTGCTCACACTCCTCTTGTGGAAGAAATACCCTGGAAAGGGCTGTGTCCAGGATCAGGCCCAGATGCTCTAATCAGTAGATAGGGAATCCAACCAAATCTCTGCAGTCTACACTGTCCACTGGTCTATAGAACATGAGCAGTCTGATTCGTGCAGATAACAAAAAACATAAGAAACAACTTGGGGCTTTCAAGGTGCCAAGAACTGAATGACAATATGTATCTAAAATTCCATTTTTAATTGTTATGAATATACATTAACCCTTTCCCTGCCAAGCCCTCCGGAACATTTTTCAAATCAGCTGAATATATAGTAATGACATACACAATTGACTATATCAATGAAACAATAATGTAAGTCCCCCACCCCCGCGAGCACGCTCGTCTTCACGTAAACACATTTGTCGGGTGCGCCTACTTATGAAGACGACGAACATGTTGGGTATCGCAGCGCACGACTGAGTGAGAGCAATCATTCTAGGGCCAGTATTTTTGTGTACAGTCTATGGACTTTTTGCAGTACTGAATTTTGTCGTCGCTTCACGAACGCACACAATTTTTAACCTGGGCATTTTGGGTATCTATTTACTCGTTGTAACCTCATCTTTTTTTATTTTCTTTACAAAAATGGGTATTTTAAGGGCATTTTTCACTAAATGTTGGGGTTTGATAAGGAGTCGCTCTAATATCGTGCAACATAAAAATTGCCAACTGCAGCCATTTTATTCTATAGGGTCTTAGCTTTCAGAAAATATATGTTTGGGGGTTTCAAGTAATTTTTCAGGCCTAAAATGTGGAATATAACATGGGTGCAAAAAAAAAAAAAAAAATAAGGCCTAAGTCATGAAGGGTTTAAACTGAATTTTTTCCCAGCTTATGCTATATGAATGGGAACATGTAACAATTATAAAATAGGTGTTATTCCAATCCGGCTGCAAAAGTGGAAATACACGCAAAGAATCCTTCTCATGTGAATGGAAAGGAGGCTCATCCTGTATTGTTGGGGAAGCATATCAACTAGCCCATACACACAGTAGCGCAAGGCCCCTAGGTAGGAGCTCCAGGTGTTGGAAGGACAGATGCATCTGTCAAAATGGAGCCAGGGTCCCATACCATTCACTTGGTCCACGCCGCAAGGGTCTGGCAAGGACTGTGGTTTTTTAATGAAATCCTCCTTGATAGGGTATTGTTGAGCAAAATGCTTTGGAGGGACAAAAAGCTTTTCAGGGCAAGGCCTACAAAGAGTTGTGGTGGCAGTGGAGCAAGCAACAGCATTGCTGGGAGCATCTTCCTCTAGAAAAGCACGCACAGAATAAGAAAATGGTGTTGTGGCAGTGCATGGCAATGCCACTATGTAGTTTGGCAAAATGGTCACCCAGGACTCCCAGCAAGAGGGGCTGATCGATTCCAGGAAAGTATTTTTACCAGGAAAGAGCTGGCTTTACAATTCTTTCCGGGTTTTCTGGATGATAGTTGGGATCCTGGAGATTTCTAAGAGAACTGGGAGGGATAAAATCTCCATTCCTGGGTCTGGGCTTTAGTGGGGACCAGCACCATGTGATTGTGCAACTGTGCACAGCCCTTATGAAAAGGATGCTGGTTCATGTTCAGGGTTCCAGCTGGAAGACAAGGCAGGTATCTGTCCAGGAGTCAGGAGGACTCCATCCTGGAGCCAGCCTGTGTGGCAAGTCAGCTGGATACAGCCTTTGTGGGAGAAGTTTAAAATAATAACATGAAGTCAGTGAGACTTTGAAAAACAGTATTTTGCTGAAAGACAAGCTGAAGTTGTGTTGTTATTTTGGAGAAACCCCTGTGAGGGAAGACTTCTGTGAACATTTATATAAAAGTGGGCAGGAAGCCCTAAAAAGAACATGTTTGCGAGTGGACTAAATCTCACAGTGCGCACATGCACAGTAGGGCCAGGGAAAAATGAGGCTACACAGGCACAAGAATGGCCGGCAACAGATCTTGCGACATAAAACGAGACTTTGGTGCCAAATGTAAAAAGCCAGCACTCCTGGCTCCATGGCTGACACATCGTTAAGTGTTGCAGCACACGCTCTGCAATCACCACAATGGGAAAACAGGCGCAAACATGCTGGGGACCCAGCCATGGCAGATTTATTCCTCTAGGAGCAGGATGTTGGGGCAAGCCCCATTCTGAATTTGCCCATCATGGTGGGCATACCCAAAGAGGGGTCTTTATGGACAGGGTCCTACCAGCTAACGGACCATGGATCTGTATAGCACAATGTGGCTGTGTGTCTGAAGCAACATTACAAAGATGGCCATGGGTACCCTTTTCTAAGACTCAGGCAAGGACCCAACCAATCTGAAAAGCTGGTGAATGCCGGGTATAAGCTGTGGCAAACTCTTCCATCAATATATCAACATAACCTACCCTGTCTACAAGTTCATGCATTATTAAACTGAACTGTGTTATCATAGATTATAGGTCTTTGTGAAGCATGCCACTCAATGATATAAGCATCTTTATTAAAATGTGTTTAGAGACAATTCAATCAGAAGTGAGAAATTCAGTAAGAGAATTAAAGTGGACACACAGATGCTCAGTGCTATAAAGCTGCCCTCTTACCACTCAGCAATAGCTTAGATTTTGCCAGGCTGTGTTCATATGGAGTAGGTGAAGGAGAATCCACAGACAGATCAGTCTGGGCACCCTTTTTGTTTAGTGTCCGAATGTTCTAACCAGGGCATTGCGTGCTAGTAAAACATGTGATTAGAACCAGTTTGCTTCTTCAAAAGCACCCCCTCCCCTGCCGTGTGCGCATTCCAAATGCAGGCTCGTAAAAACATGGGCACTCAATGCTTTTCTGCATGTAGCACCAGTTTTTGAAGACTTTCTATTGTCCTTAAAACAAGTTTATTTTTTTGGCCAAGCAAATAGCCCATAGACAACATACTCATGAAATATAAAACAAAAATGCTAATCCTTTCTTATTTTGATACAAAACAGCACATAGACAATTTAAAAAAAATGATAATTAAAACCAGACAACATTATTGCACAGTAGTTTATTTTATTTTATTTATGTTTTGTTTATCTAGGCAAGTGCCACAGGCGTAAGTATTTTTTCCATTGTCTGAATTGAAGATCCATGGGATGGAGTTATCACAGTTTAAAAATAAAATACATTAGGTGGTTTCCCTGATCCTGATGCACTAGCAAAATAATGATATGTCACCTAGGCGAGTGCTAGAAGCACCATCAAGGCAATGCAGACTTCTCATTCCTACAAATTCTGGGTCACTGTTCAAAATATTTCCCTTTTAAAGTCTTAATAGTATTCAATACTGTTAAGTCTTTTTTTGTTTGTTTTCGTGGTTGCCGTAAGTGGAACCTCTGTCTATTTCAGTGAAGCCAATCATCTGCCGCACTCCAACAGAGACTGAAATAAAAAGAAGAAAAAACACAATTACAGTGTCATAGCTATAATCAAATTGTAAATGCTTTTTGTTATGAATATATTCTTTTAATAGAAAACTCCTATTGTTGTTATATGTATATTCTTTGACTAGATAACCCATTGTTACAATATGGTTTATTTTTAGTTAGATATCAGCATTCTAAGTGAAGAGAAGTTGGGCTCAATCCCCAATTGAGTCATCCCGGTTTCTGGAAGGCAAGCCACTATACTAGACTTATTCATTTCCAATAATGCGGACCTAGTTGCAGACATGGCAATTAGAGATACATTGGGTAATAGTGATCACTGGGTGATTATTTTTATGTTGACTACAGAAAAGAGAAGTGTGTTGGTTTGACAAGAACGCTAAATTTCAGAAAGGCAAACTTCGATAAGCTGCGTCATCTAGTGTATGACACTACATGGGACAACATATTTCTAACAATAAGCATTGATGAGAAGTGGTATTGTTTTAAGAATACATTACACAATGCTTTCACCAAGTGCATACCATTGGGTAACAAAAATAAAAGACCAAGAACTAAGCCTGTCTGGTTAAATAAAATGGTAAGACAAACACATCAAAAGAAAAGAAGCTGACATTTAAAAAATCTAAGATAAAGGGGACTGCATTGGCATTCCAGAGCTACAAGGAATGCAATAAGATATGTAAACATGAAATCCATGCAATGCCAGGCTGCGGCAAACAAAGCAAGTAGAGTCCTGTCTTGTATTAAAAAGGGAATGTTCTGTAGAGATAAAGCAATAATTTTTGCCATTTTATAGATCACTGGTTCGGCCTCATCTAGAGTATGCGTTTCAGTTTTGGTCGCGAATCAACAGAAAGGAGATCCTTGTGCTGGAGAGAGTCCAGAGAAGGGCAACTAAACTAATTAAGGGGCTGGAGGACCAAAGTTATGAGACAAGGGTACTAAATTTAAATCTGTTCACGCTAGAAGTGAGAAGATTAAGAGGGGACATGATTTTGACATACAAAATGTTTGGTGGTGATGGCAACATCAGCAATAAACTTTTTACAGTAAACTCCATAAGAAAGACTAGAGGTCGCCACCTAAAATTGGTGGGGAAAAGATTCAACAACAAAGGGCATAGGGTCTTCTTTTTAGTTAGAACAGTTCAATTTTGGAACTCCCTTCCTGAAGCAGTGGTATCAGCAGAGAGAATGGAATCATTCAAAAAGCATTTAGATACCTTCCTCAGAGACCATAACATACAGGGGTACAGGTTCTCTTAAAAACTAGACCACACAGGAACTCATATGCACACACACACACACACACACACAGGTTGAACTTGATGGACCTGTGTCTTTATTCAACCTCAAATACTAAGTAACTATGTAACCACATCTATGACATTTATAACTATTAACAGTAGAGGTTACATGCTGTGAGATCTCTAACAGCAGAGGTTGCATGCTTTGAGATCCCTTCATTAGGGGCATGTCACACATTCTAACACTGGCCCTGGGATCAGAATCGGTAAGAGACCACTTACCAGTCTATGGAATCACTTCCTTGACAGCTGGGCCAGCAGGATGTCGGAAGTGATTTCACAGAGGTAGAGGGCTCTGCTAAGTGAGTCTGCCGCTGTCAATGTGCCATCTTTTATTGTGATTGGCTGTAAACAGCAGGTATTTCAATTTCCCCTTTGGCTTGTTATGCTGCAAATGTATATTTTTATCAGGGGCAGATACTATGACTGGAAAGGACTGTATTGCTCCTTCCAGTCCTGCCCTGTGTTCTTCCCTCTCATTTGTTGACAGCTGTATTCTGTGAAACCAGTAACACATGGCTGATGATAGAACAGGGGGGAAGGAGCATTAGGGCGAGGATGTAACTGTTCTATTATACAACCAGTTCATGGCAAATAATAAAAAACAAATTGTTCCTATATAAAATGATTGAGAGAGAATGATTACATCACTTCCTTAAGATGGTAGCAGCTTTTCATTATCTCCTAGTAATGCTGATGAAGAGACTTTACAAGATGGCATATGAATAATATGAAATATAGGTAATGCAAAAGGTAACACAGATCAGAAAGCATGCATGCACGCACGCACAATTGTAATTGCATTTTCAGAGTGTCTGCATTAATAAAAAGATAATTTATTTCTGCTTTATGAATAAAATGGCACACAGCAGCACTAAATAATGATTGCATTTCTAAATTATTATTTAGATCTAGGAGACTGAAAACAGTGCATTTAACGCTAGTATTCCATGGAATGTCGTGATTTCATTTAAAGCAGATTTTAAATCTAAAAAAAAAGCGGTGTATCTTTTTTTTTTTTTTGTGTGATTCTTGGTCTACCCCACCTGCTACCTCGATTCTTGCCTAGGTGAGAATAATGTATACTCTGCTCCTGATGCCTCCTGGGATATACATGCCACAAATTCCAGGAGGCCTTGGTGTCCATAACTTATCCTTTCATAACTTATGACTTGTCCATAACTTATCAGATCCAAAATGGGTCAGATAACGCCTTTTGGTTAAGGAGAAGTAAAAAGGTTGCAGTAAAATCCCTAAAGCCTTTCTGCTGTTGGAACAATGGCAATAATGCCTTGGCTCAAGAGATCTGCAAGATAAGCATTGAGGTCTGCTAGTCTGCATAAAACAACATGATATGGGGAGGGGGCAGGGAGTAAAATTCTAGCTTGTAGCACCTGGTAACCGCTGCTCTTACCAATGCACCCGAAATGCCTTCTAACCAGGAATGTGCAAAGGCCAATTGATGTCCCCTCACTTTGGAAAGTGGGGAAATCCCTTTACGATAAGAGGACTTGCCTAAAGATTTAAGAGATTTAGGGGACAAGGATTTGCGATTGAAGTGGGGCCCTGGGTTTAACCCCACTGGCATCCTTTACGAGGGTGTCCAAAGAGGCACCAAAAAGATATTCAACATCAAAACGCATGCATAGCAAGTGTTTTCTTCTCTTTTTTGCACTGCTGTTGCACAGACCAACATTTCGGCCAAAGAGTTCTCCATATATTCACTGATAGGAGACTCCTTCAGGAAATTAGATAAAACAATGTCAACTAATTTGTCTATGCAACAGTCATCAATCATAGATGCAACTTGGCCCATAAAATCAAGAATAGCTGCAGACAACTATTAAGGTATAGGAGGCCGCACCTGATGAAGCTAAAGAAGGAGGGTTATATTTACTCAAGCAGGGGACAATGATTCAGACTGTCTGTGTCAGGTCCTTGAGGAAGGACACTGTAGGCTTCCCTGGAACGGTTAGTGTATTGTGAGGAGGAGACACCCACCTCAGTGGGACTGCACCCATGGTACTAGGGATCTGACATGTTGCACTGCTTAACAGAGGAAACATAACGGAGAACATCAGGTAAACAACATTGGGTTCTAACCAGGGGCTTAACTAGAAATCACAGGGCCCCATAGCAAAATTTTATATGGGGACCTGTGATTGCAAGTTATGCCACTTGCAGAGCCCACCTGATATACCAAACAGCCCACCTGAGAGTGACCCTGCAGAGCCCACCATAGACTCTCTATAGTAGGCTCTGCAGGGTCTCAGATGGGCTGCACACCTCTTACCTGTCAGCAATGTCCGCCTCCGTGGTCGCCGGGCACCGCCTCCTCTTCCGTCCCCCGGCCCCACCTCCTCTTCTATCGACAGGCCCACCTCCTCTTACATCACTGGCCCCACCTGCTCTTAGGTCGCTGGCCAGTGATGTACGAGGAGGAGGGGTTGCTCTTAGGTGGGACCCCGCCTCCTCCTTCACTGCGAACGCTGGCCTCTTCTGACGTAGCTGCTGGCTGTCCTGACACAGCGCCGCAGCGGCTGTGAGGGGAAAAGCCGCTGCTGAGCTGTGTCAATGACAGCCAGCACTCTTACATGCCATAGCGACCCAGGCGGCCCACACGGCATCAGAGGGATGCCCTGGCCGGGCCCCCCTGTGCCCGGGCCCCATAGCGGCCGCCTGGGTCGCTATGGCAATTGTTACGCCACTGGTTCTAACAAACCAGCTGCTAAGAGCAGCATTACCAGAGCTGGCCAGGTAATGTTAGCAAGAACTAACCAAGGTGGAACAAAGTGTCTCTTGCAAACTGGAGCAATGGCTGCAAGTAGTTAACTCACGCTTTAAGTGCAGGAACAGAGCATAGAGTGCATGCATGCAACCCTCTAGTTAGTTAGCATTAGAACCCTTTCCTTGGAAACCAATGGAAAAAGGGGGTAATAATGGCGCTTAATGGTACCAAACCAAATGTAGTAGCTCCCGCACAGTGGGCTGAGCATTATAAGTCTACAGAGACTGTATTACACCAGAAGGTTGTGCCACAGCTCTGGACCTGAAAAGCTCTCTGCAGCTAACAAACACAGCACACAAAAGGTCTTAAAAGCACAAGCACAGTTTCAATGACCGAAGGTTACATTCCAGACAAACCCCACAATCTTTGGTCCAGCAGGGTGCAGGTATGGGTTATTGCTGAGGATATGCCAAAGCGGATAGCTGCATAAAGAGCCCAGCTCAGCAGCATGTAGATAGTTACATAGTATTTGAGGTTGAATAAAGACATAAGTCCATCAAGTGCAACCTATTGTGTGTGTGTGTGTATAGGTCCATGAGTGTCATTCTTAAGAGTACCTGTACCCTTGTACATTTCAGTCTCTCAGGAAGTCATCCAAAAGCCTCTTGAATGATTCCAGATTAATTGCGGAAATTACCGCTTGAGGCAGCGAGTTCCAGACCCTAACCGCGCGAACTGAGAAGAACCCCCTTCACCCCTTGTGTTTGAATTTTTTTTCTACCAGTTTTAGGTGGTGGCCTCTAGTCTTTGTTACGGAACTAATCTTAAAGAGTTTGTTGCTAATGTTGCTGTGACTATTGAACATTTTGTACATGAAAATCATGTCCCCCCTTAATCTCCTTACTTCCAAAGTAAACATGTTTAAATTTAGTAGCCTTGTCTCATAGTTCTGGTCCTCCATCCCCTTGATGAGTTTGGTTGCCCTCCGCTAGACTTTCTCCAGTTCAACGACATTCTTTCTGTGTACCGGTGCCCAAAACTGCACCGCATACTCCAGGTGGGGCCGAACCATTGATGTGTAAAGTGGCAAAATTATAGACCTATCCCTGCAAAACATTCCCTTCTTGATGCAGGACAGGATTCTACGAGCTTTGCTTACAGCAACCTGGCACTGTAATCTATTATTCAGTTTGTGGTCTACAATGACCCCCAAATCTTTCTCCATTTCCGACTTCCCTAGCGGCATACCCATAATTGTATAACCCATTTGCCTATTTTTGCTCCCAAAGTGCATAACTTTGCATTTATCGACATTAAACCTCATCTGCCACAAAGTTGCCCACTCCCCTATTTTATCCAGGTCCTCCTGCAATGTTACACTATCTTGGTCTGTTTCTATTAGTTTCTATCTTGGTCTGTTTCTCCCCCTTAGTTGGAGCAGTTAACATCAACGGATGGTCGCAGGATAGTGGAGCTCCGGCACAGCTGAAATCCTAGGGCTGAATCCTTAGCACAGAGGACTCCCATGATACTACCCATGTGTGCCCCTGACCCCAGCGACCATCGGAGAGAACGAAAATCTAAGAAAGGCCCTCGGAAACTTACTGAATTTTTCCGCTCGACGGGCTCACCGCGGACTCAAGATGGCGCCGGCTCGTCCAGCACCCTGTCCTCTCTGCAACTCTCCGACAGCCGTAACGAGCGGGAGCCGAAAGGAGGTGGGAGCCAGGTGACCGCCAACCCGGCAAAATCCACGCCCAGACTGGACTCTGGGGGAGCGCAGATACGGCCTGGGGAGGGGGACGAGCGGTCTGGCCCTACTGTGCATGTGTGTGAGGAGATGAATAGCACCATTGAGGATTGTCCCACTGCTGATCGCCCCCTGCTGGACACTACCCTAGGGGACGTGCTTGTGTCTCTTGGGTGCTCCCTGCATAGAGATGTGCTTTATCCATATACTGAGTAGAAAAAAGTGTTCAGCACTTCGGCCCTCTCCTTGTCATTTGTGACTAACCTGATGATGTCTTAAAGAAAAAATGACTAGTAAAAATTGTAAATATTCTCAGTAGAGAAAACATTTTCATCTTCTGAGGACACCAGCAAAAAACTGGGCAGGGGTAGGGCTTGTACTTGGCTGGTCAATAGCTTCGTTGCTGGTAATTTTTCAATTCCTCCTGAAGGCAACAGTATAACTCAGTTGATTCAGCATGTATTACAAGGTTTTTAACCTTACCTATTACCATAAGTAGCGCAAACATAGCCAGTGTGAGGTATGATCCACTGCTGATCATGTTAGCAAGAACTTTGCATAGAGGGTAAGACAGCAAAGATGCCCAGAACAACCAGTTCACAAGAGTCCATGGTCTACGTGCAGGCACAATAGCAGTTTCAGGATACACTCCAGTCTTGTAGTATTCTTCTTGAAAGGCATCCTAAAGAAAAAAAAAAAAAACTGAAAATCAAAATCACTTTACTGACAGACATCACAGGCATGTGATAATTAGTTGTTCTCACCACTTTTTTTCATATACAAAGTATCCTACCATAAATCAGAAGTTTTTTTAGCTGACCTTACTCCATACATTGTCAATTGTATCTAAAAGCTCATTCCCACTAGCCTATCCGCTAAACACAGAGCATTTAGTGTGGTTTTTTTCAACTTTATTGGTATTGTACAATGTGTACACTCCATTCAGGTTCCCAAACAGCATCACAGTGGACTGCGCTGCGATGAGTGGTATCTAGTGCGCTGTGGAAAAATGCAGCATATCTGCATTTCTCCGCAGTGCACTGCCCATCACATAAATGTTGTGGTGTGAACAGGGCACAATTGCTTCCTAGGTGCCTTAGTGGTGCATAAAAAGTCAACACTTTAATGTAAATGGGTCGCAATTCACACATACACACACAGGGCTTGAAAATTAACTTGTCCTTTCGTCTGTGACCAGAGGACGCTGGAGCCGGACGAGTAGCAGCTCACGTCAGTTTAACCGCTTCCCGGCCGGCCTTTGTAATTAAACGGCCAGCTGGTAGCTTCTTGGATGTGAGTGGGCGTTTTTAGACGTCTTAACTCGTCCTGCTTGTGCACGCCACTGAGTGGCGCGTGCGAACGGGGAAACTGCTTAAATTGTAAACAGCCAGTGATGGCGGTTTACCTACAACCAGTCCGGTGGCTGTAGAGCCACTGGATCGCTTGTATAATGCGTGTGGGTGTGCGGGCCCCCCCCCCTGCCAATCCCGTTGTGTCCGGTGAGGGCTGGGCACCCGCAGGGCGGCTCTGTCAGCGCAGCTCAGTGAGAGATCATCACATGATCTCCCTCTGATTTCCTCCTCATTCTCTGAATGCAGGAGTGATGTATATTACATCACTTCTGCATTCAGCTACCATTCTCCAGCTTCTATGTGGGTCCCTAGGTGACATTAGGGGTCCTAGAGACCCCTGATGTCTCCATAAAGGGGGCCTGTCTGTGTAAATTGGCTATCACATAGGGGGCTTCTTAGCCCCCTATGTGATAGCAATAAAGTAAAGTGGAAAAAAAACAAGTAAAGTCAAAGATAAAAAAAACAAAAAAAAAAACTTTTTTAAAGTCCCCTGCCCCCACAAACATGTGTCTTACGCCAAAATGGTGCTTACGCCCATTGCGCCACACGTTACATATCACCGCGAAAGTCAGAGTGAGGGTAATAATTTTAGGGCCATCAATCACTATTAACACTAAACTGATGAGCAATAAAAGCTTATAAAGCGTCGCCTATGGCCAATTTTCGTTATGGTATTTTTTTGCAATTTTTGCGGGCGCACGCAATTTGAAAGTTTAACATGTTTGGTGTCTATTTACCCAACGTGACCCTGTCTTTTATATTTTACCAAAAATATGGGTAAGAATACATGTTTTTTTAACATAATGTAGGGAAAACATTTTTGTTCCTCAAATTTACTGTACTTTTTTCATTATGTAGTAAAAAATAAGAACCCAAGTGGTGATTTAATACCACCAAAAAAAGCTCTATCTGTCCCCAAAAATTTTTAACAAATTGCAAGGCTATAGTCCGGTCATGCTGACTGGTGACATTTTTGACTGACTGGTGAGACTGTTTCAAGCCCTGCATGTAAATATGTATATGTATGTATATATATATATTAGAGGTGCATTGAAATGAAAATGTCAAAACTGAAATAAAAAAAATGGTCAGGCCGAAACTGACATTTTTTTTTATTTTCATTTTTCTTATATTTTATTTATTCATTTTTTATTAAATATTTTTTACTTTACTTTTAAGGGCTTCGGGGAAATATTAGGGGTCAACACAGACCCCTGATATTTCCCTTTTAAAATAGAAAAAGAGATTGAGAACACAGAGTCCTCAATCAATTTCTCTGCAGCCCCTGCTATAAATGAACAGGAAGCCTCTATACTGAGTGTTCCTGTTAATTCATAACATGAGGACATTGTGTGTTTACTATAACTACAATCATGAATGAACAGGAGGTGATGTAGATCACTCCCATTCAGTCATAATTGAGGCTATAGTAACCATACTATGTCCTCATGTTATGTACAAACACTCAGGCTGAGTGAGTGGTGCGGGGAGGAGAGCTCAGCCTGCTGTGACAGCGCGGACTGTCTCCGCCCACACACCACTATGCCGGACTGTGACAGGAGGCTGAGCGGTGTGGGGAGGAGAGACGCCGGCCGCTCACAGCGCTCTCCTCCCGCAGCGCTAGGCCGCCTGTGACACTTTCTCTCCTCCTGCTGGGACACAGAACAGCAACAAGCAAGGAGGAGAGAAATCAGGGATGCACCGATGTATCGGCAGAAAAATTGCACTTTCGGCATATAGCCAAAAGTGCCATTTTCAGCCGATATGTTTCGGCGGCCGATATATCGGTGCATCCCTAATATATATATTACACATACACACACACACGTACATACATACACACACATATATACACAGTGTTCATTTCTTCTCCGGCAATGTAGAGGTGACAGTGATGCAACTTTACTCAAGAGGGACATACTTTTTCTTGGTACAGCTTGTGGAGCCAACTGGCACATTCCTGTTCGTCTTCAGGGATTTCTTCTAAAGGAATTCGCCTGGAGGATTATTAAATGGAAATACAAAGTCCAATGAGAACAATTATAGATCTGAAATACTTTATATCAAACTATGTTAACTTTGCTTTGTGTTAGGTTTTAGGTCACATTAGCAAATTTTCCACCAAGCTTTAGCTTTCCACAGTTTGCTTGGTACCCGATGACATGAAAATAGTCTAAAATACCAAACAATAGGCAATGTTAAGGATTTTCCACAGGAAACCGGGCGCTGCATGGCCATCTTGCTAGAAAAAGGAACCTTAAAGAGGAACATTAACCAAGAATGGTGTTCACTAATCCCCTACTGGATTCCTAAAAGGAAAACAGGGAGAATACACCCCATAGAAGAACCAAGAAGTTAAGCTCACAGCCCTAGCTATTATAGTACACATCTCCAAAAATTGGAGTTTCTTTGTAAGGCCTCCATGGTTAGGCAGACCTCAACTCACTTTTAGGATCCCAGTTTAAAAAAATAAATAAAACCAGTGGATGACCAAACACACTGGTTTGGGTAAAAAAAATACCCAGAAGTCAGAAAAAACTCAGAAGTCAACAGCACTGCCAGTGTACCTATTTATAGATTAGGCAAAAAAAAAAAAAAATCACAAAACTAGTTTTAAGTTAAAAAATGAAAACAGATATGGAGCAAAAAAAATAAATAATAAACAGTGTTTTAGGTTACATGTATTATTATATTATTTATTCTGATGTTTTTTATATTATACTAGAAAAATCACAGAAATTCGGTGGTACAATAAAGTATATGCACCGCTGAAAGGACGTGACATATTTTGAGATACAGCATCATCATGCATGTGTAAAGCATATTTCTTTATAATTAATTTTATTAATTTTACACTATACAAAAAAAAGTAAATACAAAATATTTAACAGAATGAACCTAAACAACACAATATAAAATAAATAAATATATATACATATATATCAAACTGCAGTAGGCCAATGTCTATAACCGAGCCATATCACCCCTGTCAGACTTTGACCCAATGCAACTGATACAGAATGTAAACAATAGACATGAGTGTAGAAACATAAAAGCACAAACATGCTAAACATTCCATATAAGCAGCAAATGCTGACATCATAGCCTACTATTTATCCTAAAAAATGCCCCATGTAAAACCATAAAAAAGTCACATTTATAAAAATAAAAACACATTTCCATTGACTTTCTACTATATAATATATATAAATTAATTTTCAAAACCATATGTACAGAAGGGGGAAGAGAAGAAAGAAGAGGCAAAATGAATATTTGTGATGTTCACAAAAATTTGCATCTCATTGCAATTTCTGCTTTAAGCTGGTAAACAGTAAATCACGTCTGAATTTACTCCTTCGATCATTACATCCCTCACCACACCCCATCTATTCTATGCTGCAAAAATCTTACCTTACATAAAAGTCTGCATGGTACTTCGTCCCGTTTAATATGCCAAGTAGGGTAGGATTTTCATTATTTCTGAAGTTCAGTGTGGAATCATATACGGCAGCGGCTGTTTAAAAAAAAAAAAAATCAAAGATCACAGAGATTCACCCAAGACAGTGAAAAAGATCTGTTTAATGTTTATTTTAATTTATGTAGTTTTTTTTGTTTTGTTTTTTATTCATTGTGGCAGTCCTTCGTAAATCTAAATACAATCCCAGGAAAATGCAGAGACAACTACAATAGGTGAGCTCTTGGCATGGATGTCTCATACACCATAGTTTTGCTATAACACAAATCTCTTATGGCTGCTAATAAGTTAGTTTTCACACTGGTGACCATCGAAGCTAACCCCTATTTGCATATCTGAGCACCTGGTACTCAGGACACCCTAACAAGAATGTGAAGGTATCTGGGGCATCTGCATTACAAGCGGCAGTTTACTATATAATATGCGTAAATGCCTCATTTATGGCTATGGCAGTCTACCAATGTTCCAAATTGTAATGTTTTGAGTGGCGGTGCAGGGACTGGGGTCACAGCTGCAAACAGATCTTTGCCCCAGGGAAGGCACTAGCCAATTCCCAGGACCCTTTAGTGCTTTATTGTTCTGCATTACTATTACAACTTACAAGGTTCTGATGACTGCACAGTGACACTAAACAATAAAAATCTGCGCATCAACCTAAATTAAAGTGCAAGCAGCTGTGCAAATATCCAAAAGGATAAAATAATACTAGGGATGCACAGATACCAAGTACAGTACTTGATACAAGACTAGACTAGCGTAAAATGCAAATGTTAGGAGGCAGCTCTCATTTTTAAGGTGCATTGGGCTCCTGGGATTTGTGCATCCCTGTTTTAAAGTAGTACAAAAATAGGTTCAATACTGAGCAAACATCATAAACAGAATAAAATCCAAATGAATGGGTAACTTTACCCATAATCCCCACTCTATAAGTGGATAAAGTGCTTCAGTGCATCTTCAAAATATGTAAAATAGTACCCTTCAACAACTCCACCCTCATTGTGAAAAACACACTCACCAGATGCGCAGGATCCCTTAATAACAATAAGATTATATGTGCTGCATTAAAGTGAATCTTTCAGATGCAAGGAGAACACACAAATGGAGGTGGACACCAAACTTTGGGCGAGACACCGGTGATGTGGTATAAGTTTCAATAAACTATTCCAGCGGAATTCGGTGTGTGGCCAGCTTTTCTTCTGTTTGTGTGAATCTTTCAGATACTGAAGATACCCAGTAATGATGAAATCTATCCTTCCCAATACCGAAAACTATTTAAGAGGTTATGGCTACAGCAATCTCCCAGGGAATACGGACATCAATCCATCCTCATCACGCCTCATGAACCAAACACCGAGCAATAGCGAGAAGAGGATGCATACATTACATAAAGGGTATCCTTATTTAAAGAGAAATTCACGCAACACTTATAAGTGCTATAAGTGCTGTGTAATCTTGTAAAAGAGCTGCACCACCAGCTCCTTCCAGCTTCGGTGTGTGTCGCCGCTTCCCTCAATATGTGGCGATAAGAAGTACCTTTGGGGCAATCTTGGTGCCTGGTTCATGAGAAGTGATAAGGATGGATTGATGTGGCAATTTTCTGGGAGATTTCTCTAGCCATAACCTCCTAAATGGTAGGTATTTCAATAAATAGCCTTCATTTTAGAGAGTGTGGGTCCATTGAATCACAGGATTCTCGATCTTTGTAAAGCCACAGGCTGATCCAAACACAATGAGAAACCTATGTACAGTACATCCCCGATGTTCCACTAGGTGGCAGATACTTTACTGGTAGCCAATGACAAATATGAAGATTACTATTACTATATTGAACACTTATTTTAGTTTTGTGATAGCCACCTTTGCGCTACACTTACACTACAATGTTAAAACCAAAAATAAACCATTCTGTGCCCTACCAAAAATGCGTATTTAAAGCACACAATGTAGAATGCTTTTCTTAACGAGACATGTGCTTCTTTCCAGCCATTAGGACCATTGAAAAGACTTGAGGCAAAGCTGCAGCATGCACTTTAATCTGTTTTTGATAAATATACAATCGAGCTGGTACTTTTTATAGACAAACAAGCCAACTTCAATTGGCTTTTATGTGTGTTTCTGCTCTACCATTCAGTAAGTCTCAACTGATCGAAGGGAATCTCTCTTTTTTACCTTGAGGTGGATTCTGCTGGTGTTCAAGATTGTGTTTGTTTTATTTTTAAAATATCACTTAATATATACAATATTGGATAGGACATGATATACTGAGCTTACTAAATATACTTAATATCAAAAAGGTATTTATGGCCTACCTTGACATTAAAATGTTTTTCAATATTCTTTTAGCAATCTTTTGTTTTATTTATTGGAGTGATTTTGAATAAAACATGTTTTTGATACTCAGATGAGTTCAATGAACTCTGTAAAATGTGTGAGCGCCTCAGCACACTAAACCGCAGGAAAATCAGTCCATTAAAATGAGCTGCATGTGTATGGGACCTTTAACCCCTTCATGAGTGAGATTTTTTACAGTTTATGCTTGTAAATGACTGAGGCACATTTTACATTTTTGCTGTGTGTTTCCATGGCAGTAATATACTTTCTTACCAAGTGCACCCACACATATTATATATTGTTTTTTAGAGGTTTATTTATATCACGTGTGCCTAACGCTTCACTTAGTATGAATAACATATAAAAAGGAGGAAAAAAACGTAAAGAAAACACTTTCCCCACTTTTGATTCTTTTTCTTTAAAAAAACAAAAAATCGCACAGCTAAAAATGATGCATTAAAATAAATTAACTTATTTGTCCTTTATTTGGAAACACCACACATCCCTAGGATTTCAGAAATGTTTCTGTACTTTTCAGCCTAAAACTAAAAGCAACATTTTACTTTTTTTCTCTAAGAACTAATAATGGTTAGGTGGCCTACAATGTCACTGTCATTAAGTGTCACTAACTAACACCTAGGGACAGCAACATACTTTGAACAACGCTGTCATGAGGGGGTTAAATTTGAAAACAAATTAACCCCTTTGGGTAAAAAGCTCAGCTGCAGATTTTCATTGTAAGGGATAATTTTTTATAATTATTGTATAAAAATATATTTATATATTTTAAAATTTGTTAATTTTTTTTACACTTTTATTTTTTTACACTTTGCAATTTTTTTTGGTCTATTATGTTAAGCAGTCACTATGACTGCTTGTTAATTTAATTTTTAAAAACATTTTTTGGTTATTATTAGACTGCTCCAAACTTAGGAACAGCCTAACTGCTCCAAACTTAGGAACAGGATTAAATCTCATGAAAGACTTCTGATCGTCCTCAGACAATCAGAAGTCTGCTACATTTCAGCAAAAGAAATAGATTGTTTCATATTTTTGGCTGAAGAATGTATTGTAACAAAAGCCTATCAACATCAGGACTTGCCCGATGTCTATAGAGCTGTCAAAAGTGAAATAAAGCAGTGAGTCATGTTCAGCTTCCGCTATTTCACCTGTCAAATGCAGGAACGCGGTATTTGTAACAGCTTCGTTCTTTCATTGATGAAAGAACAAAGCTTTTACAAAAGCTTAAGGATTTAATTAATGGATGCCTCAATACAGAGGCATCCATTAATGAATGGTAACAGCTGATACTCAGCGGTTACCGGGATTTCAAAACCCTGAATAGCTGCTCAAGTACAGTGTTCGTGAGCGGTCATTTGGGCACTTCACGATAGAGACATACAGTGTATGTCTCCAGTCGTGAAGGGGTTAAGTTACCTATACACAGGCCATTCAACTAAATGGGCTGCGTATAGTCAGAATGGGGAATATTTGCAAGAATGTAGGCCTTTTCCCAGCTAATTTATTTTCACAATAAGCATTTGAAAAAGTAACCATTCTTTATTTGCGGCCCTAGACCAAAATGAGCACTACTTTGATCTCATATCATTAGGATCATAACTAAAAAAGACAGAGAGTGAAAAGTTCAAAAATAATGAGCTGTGTGCACTCAATCTCTTGAGTGAGGCACCTGAACACGGCTCTCTGCAGGCACATGATCGAGAATTTGCGAAAAGAGCGACGGTATGTGTTCGCTCACTTCCCGATCTCGAACTCTGAGGCTGAGTGATTTTCACTCACATCATAGTTCTCCTTTAAGGGGGGATATGATTTTGATGTACAAGATGTATAATGGGGATAGAAACATCAGCAATAGACTTTTTACGGTAAACTCCATAACAAAGACTAGAGGCCACCACCTAAAATTGGGGGAGAAAAGATTTCAGCACAAGGGGCTTCTTCTCAGTTAGAGCGGTTAGGGTTTGGAACTCGCTGCCTCAAGCAGTGATTTCAGCTGTGAGTATTGAATCTTTCAAAAAGCATTTGGACAATTTCCTCAGAGGCCGTAAAATTCAGGGGTACAGGTACTCTTAGGAACAGGATCACACAGGGACTCGTACACACCTATCCACATGCAGAATCACATGCATGTGGATGCCTCAGAGATTTCCTCAGAGACTGTGACATTCAGGGGTACAGGTACTCTTAGGAACAGGATCACACAGGGACTATGTCTTTATTCAGCCTCAAATACTATGTAACTATGTAACTATGATCAATATGCAGCCAACAACCATTTTGCATACAGTCCAAATGCTGCCTCAAGGGGCACAATACATTAAATACATTTCAAGATATGAAACTGGGAAAATGTATAATTTCTCTTCAATAAAACAGACCCACTGATACACTGATCCGCCATAACATTAGGACTACTGACAGGTGAAGTGAATAACATTGATTATCTCATTACAATGACACTTGAAAGTGGGTGTGTTATACAAGGCAGCAAGTGAACATTTTGTCCCTGAAGTTAATGTGTTGGAAGCAGAAAAAATGGGCAAGCATAAGGATTTGAGCGACTTTGACAAGGGCCAAATTGTTATGGTCAGAGCAACTTCAAAACTGCAGCTCTTGTGGAATGTTTCTGATCTGCAGTGGTCAGGACTTACCAAAAGTGGTCCAAGGAAGAAAAACCAGTGACAGGT